GAATAATATCTTCTTCAAAAAGCTTCTGTCTCAAAGTTATCAACATCAGAGTCTTGATGTTATCAGGGTTTTGCAGCCAATGTGCTTCAGCGTGAATATCAATCAGAGCAGAGTTTAATAACAGAGCCTCTGTACTTGCAGCAAAAAGTACTTCACTTCTTGAAACAATGCTTGAAACTCTTCATACAAATTCTTCAACTACGCTTTAGAGTCTTCTGCAGCTTCTGCTTCAGAGTCTCTTCTGGCAGCGCTTAGAGTCTTCTGATGACTTGCTTCTGATGCTTCAGAGCTTTGCGTAGAGTAATGTTCAGATGCATTATTGCTTCCATAAGAATATTTACTTTAATTTCTGAAACAAAAACACTTGAACAAAATTAGAGTATATATTTTCTTAATACAAAACATAAATATATATTAAACACCAATCTGTGTTCTTACAGATTCTTCCAAAAGCTAATTCAAGTCCAATGCGAGTGTCGGGAAATTAATTGCGGGTTGGACAAAAGATGGGTGAGCTCTCTGTTCTGTATGAGGATGGATATGCAGAAATGAGATGCTAATGCAATAGACACGGGATCAAGGTCACATATCCTACAAGGTAAAGCAACTAGATATCCCTCACCTCGGGTGGGCAATCTATTGGTTTATAACAGGGTATCCCAAAGGCATTAAACAAAGACCCATGCACTAACCCTCAAAAGTTTTCCATCATAACGACAATTCGTAAGACAATAAACCCTTCAAAGGATGAACACAAAGTTATGTTTTAGAAACCTTAGGGATATGGTTCTACAAAAGGTCCTCAGAGTCACGGACTCCCAGGTCGGAAATAAAGACGCCATTACGACTACTCGTAAGTGTCGCAACTGCGAAAAAAGGGGCTGGAGAAACAAACAGAAGAGTCGCCATCGAACATTATATATCCCAAAGAGAGGGAAAGGAAATGATCAAAGAAAACCTAAAAGAAATGGGAAAGACAAGGTCATCGCAACCAAATCTTGGGTTCGGCAGTCGGTTACGCAAGGGGAAGGTATGAGCACCCGTCACGTCCGTTGTACTCAACGGGATCCATGCTTGTTGTCTAATCTATGGGTGAAAACTATCTAAACGCTACTGCTAAACAGGGTGAAAGGAAAGAACAGTCTCGATAGGACATTTCCACCTTATGCCTACGTAATCCCTCGTGCAATGGGAAAGTCAGAGTCAACGTAGTTCGGAAAACTACGGGTGATGGGGGGAAAGGTTGCTCGCCAAGACGTCACCGTCTTATGCCTACGTATCCTCATTTGGTATGAGAAATCAGAGCAAACGTAGTTCGGGAAACTACGGGACGAGGTTGGTTAAGTATTTTTTATGAGTGACGTTAAATCTCTATTCCAGTAGTTAGGGACGATGTCTGTTTGTGGTAGAACGGAAAGGTAACATACTCTTTTCTGAAAATGAGATTTGAAACAATCCTGAAGGATGAAAAGGTTTGAAATGTATTTGTGATTTTTAATAAAGTGGATTGAATTAGTTGGAGACTCACGTCGCACTAAAGACTATGACACAAGAGCGAATGCGTCGCATATCGCCCAAAGGGCATACGCTAAACATTCTAGACAAGTGAAGATAGACCTCCCCACTTATCATTTCTCATGTACTTAAGGCTTGTAGTGTACAACACTTGTCATTCTTTATTAAATGTCTTAGAGGAGTTTAAGATGAGAAGAGAAGACACAAGGATACTAAAGGGAGCTGAGAACCCTAATGATGTCATGCAAAATGGTCTTAAAGTTGAGATGAAAGGGGAGTCTACCTAATGTTATCATACAAAGGATTGAAAGTCTAATGTCTCTCCTACTCTCATATTAAACAGAGGGACTAGGAATCCTAAGGGATCATGTGAGCAAACACAAGTAAACACAACACTAATCAATCACAGATGAAAACAGAAATCAAAACTTAAACAAGTCATGAAAGATGAAAAGGGATGAGACGAGAAAACATACAAACAACATTGAATTAGGACATACAAACACGAGGCACATATCAATGACACACACATGGTTAAACTCAAATCAACAAAATGAAAGTTAGAACAACAAGGCAAAAAAGGCAACCACACAAGACCACATTCCCTAAACATCTTAGGAAGAATGATGTCAAACATTAAACCACAAAAAAGGAAATGAGGGGAGAAATAGAGTGGGGCAGCAACAACATCATGATCATCAAAATCATACATTCATCCATGATCAATCAAAGGTAAACATCCAAACACACCTCAAAAGAAGTTCAAATATTCAAACCATTCTCAAAGTAACACAAATGCCACAAAAACATCAAGATCAAGTATCAATTTATCAAGGTCAGAAGCAAACTCAAATGATATGCAACAAGTTCAAAACCAAAATATCAAACAAGATCAAGGAGGGTCATACTCAAGTTGAAACACCAAAGTCATGCAAACATCTCACAAGTCAACTACAAAAGGAATACATGATCATACAAAGCATATGAGATGAAACAAACATTCAATGGATCCCTAATCATAAAAAATAGAACCTTAAACATGTCAATAAGAGCATACAAGACTCACCAAGTACTCATGGAGTCACACAAGAAGCCACCTAAAAAGATTAGGTTAAGACAATGCATACACACATGGTTAAAACAACACGATTTTGATGCATCAACCAAAAATAGAAACATGACCAAATAAAATCCAAATAAAATTCAAACTCAAGTTAAGTCAATCTTAAATCAGTGTGCAAAAGATCACAACATGAATTGCATCCAAGCACCCTCAATTGCATCAAACAAGACAAGGCACTCAACTTATCGAGCACACATCGAGGGTCAAATAAAATCAAATGAAAAACAAATAAGAAAAGAACACCAAGGAATCAAAACCACCCCTAAACACTCCTCAATCAAGCACTAAAGTGTGAGAGGAAAATCGGCTTAAGGAGGTATCAAATGATGTCAATCATGAAACCTAATCCACAAGGGTAAACAAGAAAACCACTTTGCAAAATAAATTGATTAAAAATAATAAAATAAAATGAAAACTAAAATAAAAATTGTGAAAAATATCTTGACACATGAATTAAACAGGAACATATTTTTGTTGACTTTTAAAATGATTTGAACTATTAAAAATAAAATTAAAACGAAAATAGAATAAAAATTAAATATAATAGAAAAAAGTGCAAAGGGGGTATGAAACACTAGTAGAAAAATTACTTTTTAGTAAAGGTTGTTAAGTCAGTTAACTTACCACCTGACTTAAGAAGCGATGCGGTGACAATTTCGTAAATATGTGTAACTTAGTTAGGTCGGGTGCATTTAAAATAGACTTAACAAAAATTAAATAAAAAATATACAATTCACTTTAAATTTCTTAAGTCATATGTGCTCACTAACTGACTTAAAAAATCAATTTATTAAGTCAGGTGTCTTTCACCTAACCTAAGAAGTTTTATTTACTTGAAACAAATTAAATTTTTGTGTGCACCATAGGGGAATTGAATTCGGTATCCTTAAACAAACTAGAAACCCTAATCAAACTTCCTCCCTCCAACGCCGTCCCAATGCCTTCTTCTTTCTCACTTTGCTTCTCTTGTAATAGTGGCTTCTTTCGTGATTTTTTTCGATTCCTTTTGTGGGTTTTTCTTCGCTGCTTTTGTTGATAGATTCTCGCTCTGAGCTGATTCTATCTAATGTTCTTCTTCTTCTTCTTTTTTAGCGGGAAAGTCTACGCTTTTGAGTTTGGATACTAATTTAATCTTGAGCCCGCTGAGGAAGATTTTGAACCGGCGGTGATGACGCTTCGTCTGAGCTGAGAGAGCTATAGTCAATGTTGCTTCCATTTTGTTGTCTGAGTTTCCTTTGTTGCTATGTTATCTCTGAGCTAGGTAGGAAGTTGGTGACGGTCTATGTTGCTCTTCCGGCTGCTCGAGTTCTATGCCCGGTGATGAGCTTTAAAATTTTGAGGGCTTGAACCTCCTTCATTATATTCTAGGCTTTCAGTTGATCTTTGCTACTGATCTATCTTGCTTGATGGTGACTTCTGCAGGGAGGTGATGTATGTTGGAGTTGATCCTTACAGCGCGGTCTCTTCAAAGGCTTGCGCGTTTTGGTCTTAATTATGCTATTGTTTTTATTGCAATCTGTTACGCTTCTTCTGTGTTCTGCAGGGAATAGCTGACAAAAATATGATGGAGGTTGTGATTATTGATGTTGTTGCTACACTCGGGAATCTACTTAATGGATGGGAAAGTTCAACCATTGCAGGTTTCTGTTTTTTTCAATCCTTTCTCATCTACTTGTATAGTATTTTCAATTTAAAATGTATATATGTGCCTGTTCTACAGGGGCTATGACCTACATCAAACAAGAATTTAAATTGGAAAAGGATCCATCACTTGAAGGGTTGATTGTGTCAATGTCTTTTATAACTGCAACTGTTGTCACCATATTTTCTGGAACAATCTCTGATATGGTTGGAAGAAGACCTATGTTGATAACATCTTTTGTTATGTTTATCATTGGTGGTTTGGTAATGTTGTGGGCTCCTAATGTTACTTCTATTCTCTTGTCAAGGATTATCAAAGGCGTGGCCTTTGCTCTAGCTAGCTGTTACTTTTAATCCACTTTACATTTCTTAGATAGCACCACCTGATATTAGAGGATAATTGAACACTCTTGCACAATTTTCTTGTTCTGTTGGAATGTTTTTGGCTTACATTCTTGTTTTCTTAATGTCCTTGATGTCGTCGCCTAGTTGGAGAGTTATGCTTAATGCTATTTCTATTCCTTCTGTTGTTAATTTTTTGTTGACTGTGTTTATTTTATAGTTGGAGAGTAACACGTGTTCCATACAAATCATGTGTTACTTTAAATTTTTTATAGTAGTACATACAATTAATAATTATACTTTCAGGGGTAATAATGCCAAGACACCTGAATATTTTGAAGATCTTTTTTGTAACCTTGTCTGCTATCAAGAGTATCGCATGAGAACTAGCAACAAATTCATCCGTCCGGTTAGAAGGTTTGTCATATTCAAATTAGAATGTATTTGTCTAATATTTGTTTCTTATTTCAATGTTCTTTGCTAGAAATATCATTGTGGATTTTTCATGTCTTTGAGCTAGGCTTAAAGTAATTGATTGAGATGAAATTTTCAGGAACTTTTTAATATTGAGCAAGGTGTGTGCACAAATTGCCAATTGGATTGTTATAAACTTGTTGTGCACATAAGACCTTTGTCCTTGGAAAGACGACGTGAGTACATTGAAAAATCAGCACCAAATATTGTAAAGCGGAGGAAGATGTGAGTTTATGATAGTGAAATACCTAAAGTCAATATTGTTATGATGTTAGAAAACAACAATACAGGTTTGTAACACTACAACCTTCTAAACTTGCTTATTTCTGAAGCATTCTTATGAAACACTAGTTAATTATCTGCAGGCTTAAGAAGCTTGCCAAAGATCCAAGTGAAGGAAATGCATGGCATGCTGATCACATTGTTCCAGTATATAAAGGCGGAGGTATAATCTCTTTCGAAGCAATTTCCTACCTGCTTTTGGAAGAATTGCAGTATCAATTTTTTATTTTAGTGACCTGTGATTCTCAGAAATGAACATATTGATACTTGCAACTGATTTTTTTATGCTCAAAAGAAATGCCAATATTACAATCTTGATTTATAGGAAACATTTATCTAGTCTTGCTTGTACTTGTAATACTGGTATTAAAATGTAAATAAGTTTAAGTAGTAGGGGCGCTACTATTAGCATCACTATAGAGTTTATCTCTCTCACAAAATGCCTACATTCCAAAGTTAACTTCCAGAAGCTATTGACTTAGGACGTGGGGTAATTTACCATCTAGACGATTACTTTCAGAATTTTACAATGTTAGGATGTTAACTTTCAAAATTTTACAAAGTTAGATATTAAGTTATGGACTATTGCATAAATTACCAAATAAAAAATAGATTACTACATTTATAGAGTCCTTTTCCTTCTCTGCTGATTGTGTCCCCCCTGTAATTTCCTCTGCTTGTAGAAAAAAAACATTTTTTTAGCTGTTTGAATTTATACCTTATTTGATAATTTCTATAGGTGAATGCAAACTTGAGAATTTGAGAACTCTTTGTGTGGCCTGCCATCACAATGTTACTGCTGAACAATGCGCTGAACGACGCATTATAAGAGCAGATGTCCGGAAACAACTAAAAGCATTGATGGATACCATGAAAAATAGTATGAAGGGTGCTGCTGGCACTAATATTGAGGTATGTAATAATTTCTGGTGATGCTTAGACCCATTCCCTGATGGTGTGCTGCATTTCAATCGCCATATGTTTTGGATGGCATATTTGTATGACACTTGTGTCAAGCGTTCATGCTTTGGGAAGTAATTTTGGTCAATTATATGGTTTGATGTCAACCTAGCAAGCTAAAATTGTTCAAGATGGTAATTATTCACATCAGTGCTTCTCCAGAAACAAGAAAATATGCATGAGGATGATATTTTAGTCCAGGTTCCTGGAAGTGCCTATGCGGTAGCAAATTGTCAAGAAAGCAGAGATGCAGCCTGTTAAGAACCAAGGACAGCTACTGAAAATCTTTATCGTTCAGCAGAAGTAGACTGTGAGTTTTTGAAGAAATGTTGTGAAACATTAACAGATGAAAACAGGAGGCTAAAGAAGGAGCTTCAAGAGGTGAAAGTATTGAAACTCTATGCCGGCAGCTACTCTTTCCATCTGCCCTTCCTGCGACCGGCTCGGCGGTCGTGTTGCAGAAGGCGGTGGATCAAATAAGAAGATCATCACTGCTTTTACTATGGCTCCTAATTCTCACTTTTATAATCCTTTCAACAATCCTTCTGCTGCACGTTAAACAGAAGAAAACAGAAGAAATACAAGGAGTAGTGTTATATTATCCCCACAACCATTGTATTTTTTTGGTTGAGGAGGATGTGTTGTAACTAGTAATAGGTAGAAAATTACAGTTACTGCTAATTGTAATTGTTTTTTAATTTTGGATTTTCTTCTCCTTTTATATGTTTATAACTCATTATAGAATATCTGGTTTTAAAAATATAAAGATATTATTCAATAGTACTATTATTTTTTCATTGTTGAATATTTTTTCTTTCATTTGAATGTGTTAATACTTTGAAGAGCTATCTGGTGGAGAATTGATTTTCGTAGGATTTACGTAATGGCTTCTTTAAGAGCTATCATTTGAAAGTGTTATTACAAAAAAAATCGACTTGTTAGTTCAGTTAAATATATCTGAAAGCCAAGACTCATTAAGTCGGACGTTGTTTAATTGACTTAATAACATTTTCTTAAGTCAGGTCTAAATCCGACTTAAGAAGTCGAAACTTCTTATGTCAGCAATTCTTAGGTCAGGTTCGGAACCGTCTTAAGAAGTCATTTTTAACCGACTTAACAAGCATTTTTTCCACTGGTGAAAGTAAAAACTGGTTGAACTAAATTCACGAACAAAGCGCAAATGGGCTGAAAAGAGGGGGGTGTCTAAAGTGAAATGACCAGGCCCAACCCAGAATGGGACAAAACCCTCAGACTAAATGAAACACATTGTTTCATTAATGGATGTGACATGCCACATCACATTTCAATGAGCCACGCCAGCCAGTCAAAGCCCAATCATGATCCACCTCAGCTTTTAACCTCAAACGCCGGAGCCCTAGCTTCATTTGTCTTCTCCAGCGAGCCTCACCGGCGATGAGTGCAAAACTCAATAAAAATGAAAACTCTGGGCACCATCTCAAAGGAAATTTCACGTAGATCATGAATCTACCATTAGTTTTTCATAAAGCCTCTTCCATCATGGTGAACATGCAACACGAAAATTGAACTCACAAACTGAAATTTGATCAAACAGCCACAACAAGCACACAAACATTGCTTACACATGGTAGGGCTTCAGATGCAACCAGTATGAACATGTTTACATGCTTAGAATAAGAGTTCCAGATGAAGAAAAATTACCTAATGGAGCAACTCTATTGGTCCTTCAAATGCAGTGCAAGCTTCAATCTAAAAGATGTCATCGACCAAAAGTCGGAACAGAAGCTACTAACTAAAAGTTAGATATCATCGACCAAAAGTCGGAACAAAATTGCTAACCAAAAGTTAGGAATCATCGACCAAAAGTCGAAACAAATTTTCTAACCAAAAGTTAGGAACCATTGACCAAAAGTCAGAATAACGACTCCGTGGGGGAACAAAAGAAGACTACCAACCAAAAATCGGGGTAACATCCAGAAAAAGCAGGAAGTAGAATCAACCGATTTACAACCTGAAAAATGGAACTCCACTGGGGCAAGAGAAACTTAAACAAGTAAACTCTGTTGTGAAGCAAAAGTAAGATGAAAACATCCACCAATGATTTTTGTTGGGGTTAGGTACCACGAAGGCTCATGAATTATGTCATTATCTGCTGGAGAGATGTTCGGTAACAAAAGCATTGAACATGGCTTATGCTTCGCATGCATATGTTTGAAAATGGGATAATGCTCCATATGAAATGGAAATGCTACGCATTTGGGAGGATGCTATGAAAAAATGTAAATGCAAAGAAGCACCACCAAGACAAGGTGCCGAGAGAAACAACAAGCAAACTAGTTAAGGAATACAACTTGAACGACCTTTTGGAATAGAACTCTCATGGGGACAATTCCACTCTGCTAGGGATTGAGAATAACATCTGCCAGGAAGTTGTCCCAAACATTTCACTTTGAAGAAAACCAATGATCATTAGATTCTACTACAAATGTCTACCATTTTCGAAATACTCGTCGAGGGAGTCAACCTTAGATCTCTGCTTGGGGAGAGAAGTCAATAACATAGATCCTGTTGGGGAACAACGCTGAACTTACCCTGCTGCTGAGGAATAGTCTCAATCTTACATGTTGGAGATAGATGCACATCACTGTTGGCGAGACACTTCTGATCTGGAAACAGTTCTTGGTGGGGCGAATCCTGTAAATGACAAACAAATAACAGGTCCTGTATGCAACAATGGCTACTTTGGTCATCATCCATGACATCATTCAAATAAATCATCGCTTTGATTATGATTAGCAAATCCCTAAAAGTTTTTGTATGCAAAGTTTTATCAAAAATATTAGGCGTCTTTTCGCAAACAAAACAGTAAAAGCAATAACAAGAAGAGAAAGCTCTTTGTGGAAAATACTTCACTGATTAAAATGGCCTGTAAATAGGAAAATTACAATGGATGCAACTTCTGAAAAGAGAAAGTCGCGCAAAAAGTACAAATGCAAAAGATATACAAATGTCGGCAATGTGGAAATAGAGAACCACCATGTGTCGATTTGACTATGACTCGCATGACTTTGATGCTTCACCAATGTTCTGCTTTTTGGAGAAACTGATTTATTAACCCCCGGGTTCTCCAACAATCTAACTGTGCTCACGAATCAGACGCAGACCATAGTCATTTGCTTTTAAATCCCTAACTTTTTCCTGAATCACCCTTGCGGGTTTTCGATCCACCGGGATACCCATTTTTGCCAAAGTTGCCTTTTCAGGTTTTTAACTCTGCGAGTTTATTCATTTTTTTTCCTATCCCTAATTTTTGCCCGAACCTATTCTTTTTATGGTTCATCGGGATGCCCCATTTTTTCCTGGACTTTCTTTTTATGTCCAGCGGGTCTCTTTTTAAGCAAAGTATTTTTTGACTATGTCTGCGTTCACAGGGGATGTAGAATCTTCGCCGTCCATAATTGATAGTAGTAAGGCTCCTCCAGAGAAAACTTTCCTTACCACGTATGGACCTTCATAATTGGGAGTCCATTTGCCCCTGTGATCTATTTGTGGAGGGAGGATCCTCTTCAGCACTAAGTCACCTGCCTAAAAATGTCGAGGGCGCAGTTTCTGATTGAATGCCTTCTTCATTCTGCTCTGATATAGCCGACCATGGGCGATAGCTGCCAATCTATTCTCATGAATCAGACTAAGTTGATTCAACCTAGCCTTTACCCATTATGCTTCATCAAGCTTCATATCAACCAATACCCTCAAAGAAGGAATCTCAACTTCTAATGGTAGGACAACTTCCATACCATACAACAATGAGAAAGGAGTTGCCCCAGTCGACGTATGCACTGAAGTAAGATAACCATGTAGAACAAAGGGCAACATCTCTTGCCAATATTTGTAAGTCACCACCATCTTCTGCACAATCTTCTTGATATTCTTATTGGCTGCCTCAACAACACCATTCATCTTCGGACGGTACGGAGAAGAGTTGTGGCATTCAATCTTAAAACTCTGACACAATTCTTTCATCATCTTATTGTTCAAATTCGAACCATTGTCAATAATGATTCGTTCTGGCACTCCATATCGGCAGATGATGTCCTTCTTGATAAAGCGAGCAACTACCTGTCTGGTCACATTGGCAAAGGAAGTTGCTTCTACCCACTTGCTGAAATAGTCGATTGCCACTAAGATAAAGTGATGCCCATTGGAGGCGGTCGGTTCAATCTTGCCAATCATGTCGATGCCCTACATTGTAAAGGGCCTAGGAGACGTCAAAACATTCAGAGGACACGGTGGTACGTGCATTTTGTCAGCATAAATTTGACCTTTATGGCACTTCCTGGCATACCTAAAGCAGTCAGATTCCATATTCATCCAGTAATACCCTGCTCTCAACAATTTTCTGGAAATTGCATGCCCACCTGCATGAGTACCAAAAGAACCTCAGTGGACCTCTTCAATTAGCAAGCTTGCTTCATTTTCGTCCATACAACGCAGCAATACCAGAACGAAATTTCTTTTGTACAACACATCATCCTTGTTTAGGTAAACGTTTCCCGACAGCCTCCTCAGATTCTTCTTATCTTTACTCGATGCCCCAGGCGGATACTCTTGGTTCTTAAGGAAATTTTTGATATCAAAATACCAAGGCTTCCCATTCGATGCTTCTTCTACTGCAAATATGAAAGCTGGCCTATCTGTCGCTACTGCGAAAATCGGCGCCGGCTGAACAAAAGAGTCGCCATCGTGCGTTATTTATCCTAACGGAGGGAAAGGAAACGCTCGAAGTAAACCTACCGCAAAGACGGGAAAGGAATGGTCATCGCAACCAAATCCTGGATTCGGGAGTCGGTTACGCAAGGGGAAGGTATTAGCACCCCTCACGTCCGTCGTACTCGACGGGATCCACGCTTGTTTTCTTGTACGGATTGTTATTCTATCTACGCTATAGGTCTGGGGTTAAAAGAAAATAAAATGACTCGGCAAAGTATCGCACTTTATGCCTACGTATTCCCGTCTGGAACGAGAAATCAGAGTCAACATAGTTCGCCTACCTACGGGAAAGGAGGGGAAGGTTGCTAGCTAGGATATCGCATCTTGTGCCTACGTACTTTCATACAGCATGAAAGATCAGAGCAAACGTAGTTCGGGCTACGGAAGACACAAGCTTGTCTGACTCCTTTTATCTCCTTATGAAAGGGTTTGTCCTGATTAAGAGTTCAAGCAGACAAAAATGACACTTTGATGTTTGTTTTTAGTCTTTTACGCAAGAATTGTTTTTTATG